TTCTACCCCACAAGTCAAAATCTGAGCTATTATGTTTGTAGACCTGATCTACTCTCCAAGCCATTAAGTTATTAAATATGACTGCACAGACTTATGAGTCATGACACACTACACAAAAGGCAAGGCTACCAATTTATGATCTTAAAAAATTTATAAGAATCTTTCTCAAAAACTTCTTTTATCTAGCCTTTAAATCTTTTCCAGATGATTCACACAAATCTAGTAGAGGGACAAGTTAATTACACCTTGCGATCTCATTTTGCTAGCAGTCTTTTAAAAACAAACTGACCATCTTGCTGTACATCACTTCCTTAATGCTACTTCCTGTTTGGAAAAATGATGGACTGGGTTTCAGTTTCCCCCACCTGTTTGGAATTTAGATAACAAAGTAGAGGAAGCAAGAATGAAACTTCCCTGATGAAACATTCTTTCTTACAGAAAATATCATGATTTGTCTTAAAAGGAAGCCTGAAAACTAGTATGGACCCTAAGTATGGACCAAAGAAATCAAAAGATTCTGGTTTAAGAGAACCCCTAAGGTCAAGCAGTATCAATGTGGTCCAGACAATGAAACATTGTAAAACAGACTACAGGCCACCATGTTCTTTCAGTGGCCCACTTTCATCCTGCAGGGATACTTTCTTTTCTCACTTTAACTGGCCCACAGTTGCACTACATCCCACTTGTTTTTTCTTTTGAGATGGGGGTCTCACCTTGTAGTTCAGGCTAGCCTCAAACTTGCGGTGATCTTCCTGCCTCAGCCTCCCTTCAAGAGCTGGGATTACATGCCTGCACCACCATACCCAGCATGCATAGCATTTTTTTCCTACCTTTAATGAATGTAAAAACAAAAACAAAGAAAAATACCCCAACCAAAACAAACAACAGTAGTACAAACCAGGAGTTCAGCAAAGAAAGTCATGGCAATAAATACTTTAGGCTTTGCAGACTTTAAAGACTCTGTTGCAGCTATCCAAATTTGGTTTTGCAGTGCAAAAACAGCCACAGATGATCAATAATGTGACTATGTTCTAATAAAACATTCAGACACACAGCCAGAGAGCCAGGGTTGACCACAGTTTGGGATGCGCTGGTTTTAAATTAGTTTCTAAGATGTATTACAGAACACATATTCGGTTACATTAAGAGTTGCTTTAGCTGAGACTTCAATACTCAGACTTTTAGCCATTAATCACTCTGGGAGCAGCAATTCTCAAATCTTTTGGCTACAGGATTTTTTTTCACTTTTTTTGGTACCGAGGATTGAACTCATGATCTCACACTTGCCAGGCAGGTGCTTATGCTGCTGAGCTAAATCCCCAGCCCCTTTTTCCCCCCATTCTTAATAAGAATTGAGAATGTCAAAGAGCCTTGGCTTATGTGACTTAGTCATAGGTATCATATCCCAAAAGTAAACTAAAACTTTGCCTAGGTATATTAATATATTTCAAAATGATCAAAACAAATTATGTAAATTATTATGCTCATATTGATATTTATATTTTCCAAAACAAAAAACAAATTTGTGATAAGAGTGGCATAATTTACATTTTACAAATGTATTTAATGTTTGGCTTAAAATAGCTGAATTAACTAACTGGTTTTATGTTCAATTTATTGTGCTATGTTGTTGAGACTAAAAGCACATGAAGAAAATCCAGCTATGTGCATACACACATGAATACTTCTTTTTGTGGCAGTGGAGATCAAAACCAGGGCTTTGTGCAGCCTAGGCAGCTACTCCATCACTAAGCTACATTCTTAGCCCACACAAAGATACAAGCAGAAAAGGGAGGATTCCGCAAAGTTCCAAACAACTGTGGGTATCCTTTGATATCACACCAGAGATTAGTGATTGACACAGCTGGGGACATGTGAGGAAGAGGAAGAATGGTGACTGCTAAATCGCATGCCCAAGATTTGTTTTTGGGAAAGAAAGTGTTCTAAAATTAGATTGTGGTTATGGCTGTCTAACTCTATAAATACATTAGAGCTATACACTTAAATCATTTTTTTTTGGTATACCTCAAAATAAAGCTGTTTAACAAAAAGAAAAGACTGAACAAAATGGCTACAGTTTAGAAAGAGCAAGAGATAGGAAATCAGACTACTGCCACAGGCAGGCAGTCATATTCAAGATCGTGAACCACTTTCTTTCTTTTTTTTTTTTTTATGTGAACCACTTTCTAAGACCAATGGGAAGGCACAGAAGGGTTGAAGGAGGAAAAAACATTATTACAAAAGTCATCAACTGGTTGTTTCTAAAGGTTGCTGCACTGCACCAGGGACTCTAAAGCTGCACGCATGAACTTTGCATCCTTCATCACATTAAAACTCACAGGTCTATCTTGCTCTTTGAATGAATATTTTACGCACAATTTCCTAAGATGTCAGCACTGTTCAATTGGAAAATATTATATTAGCCCAGTGAGTCATGTAGATCTTCCAAACTGTAAAGATGCACAAGCTGAAACACTTTTTACTTAAGGACTCTTACGTGAACTAGAGTTTTTTAAAAAAATTTTTTTGAGTGGATGGCAGAAAAGAATACAATGACTACTGGTAGCTCAGACATTTCATTACACAATTTTTTTAAAAAATCACATTTAACACCACAACTGATGCCATTAGAAATTCTTTAAAGCTGTCAAGCTTCTCACAGGAGCAGATACAAACACTAAAATTTCTAATTTTCACTCGGCGACAAATCATTTTCCTGCTAGGCTGGCCTCAAGCTCTAAACGAGCCTCTTGCCTCAGTCTCCCAACTGCTAGGGTTACAGGCATACCTCACCATTTTATCATTTTCAAAAAACACTATTCAGTGTTACACTTGAAAGGGGTAGATCACTTTGTTTTTCAGATTACTTTATTCTTGAGAAAGACCTGCAAATATCCAAATTGGATAACCATGGGCATCTATCAATCATTTTTCATTTTTAAAGCTTTTATTTAGTTTTTTTTTTCAAGCAAAAATGGAGTAACATGAAATAAATAGGTAGTTCAGTTTAAAACTCGCCTAGTACAAGTGTTTTTCCTTAAGATTACCATAATTCTTTAGTATGCAGAATTTTTTAAATACACATACCCCATTTCACAAGTCAGAATAGTTATACAGCATGCATCTAAGGATCAAGATGTAATAAAATTAACTATTATAATTTTATTTATTGTTTGAGACAGGGGCTCACTATGCAGTTCAGGCTGGCCTTGGGCTCACTTTATGGCTCAGATTGGTCTCAAACAATCCTCCTGCCCAAGTGCTGGGATTACAAGTGTGTACCATCCTGCTCAGCTATAATTATTTATTATAAAAAATTTGAGAACAATGATTATAAACTTTAATTTTATACCCTGTTACACCCAATCTCTCTATATATACACATTGTTAATAAGAGATAAATGATAGCTCACTAGTTATTTCAACCACAAAATTTTCAGTATAAGCAGGATTAAGTTTGAAATATTTAGTAACAGAAAGTTTAGAACACAGAATTCAATGGGAGATATGTCACTCTACTTCAGGCATATCTACTATTTATAAATTTAAAGTCTTTAAATTACATGTTTATTTGTTAGAACAAGTCTATTTATTGTTTACTTTTTGCCAAAGGCAAAATCATACATAAGTTTACTTCTTTCCCACAACTACTCTTCATTTTAAGCCTTTCTGCCTGCTGCTGTCTTGGCTCCAGATCAATTTCACTGGGTCACAGGGAGAGGACTGATCTAACCAGCTCTTCAGAGACATTTCAAAACTGCAAGCATTAAAACCTGTAGCAGCCATTTCATGTCAGTTTCACAGTGGGGTGCTCCACTCTGGTTTCTAGAAATCACCTACCCACCTGTCCTCTGATTGTCCCCACTGTTCCAAGGGTTATACATACCCAGAGAGAACAAAAAAGTGAGTGGCAGTACTTCAATGCAAAAAAATAGGAATTCAACAGAAGTCTCTTTCTCACAGTAGAAGGAACCAAGGTTAAGAATTTGCTTAACTGTGCAGGGAGATGCATACTTGTAATCCTAGCACTCTGCAAAGCTGAGGCAGCAGGATTGCAAGTTTGAGCCCTGTCTGGGCAACTCAGAGAGTCTGTCTCAAAACAAACAAACAAAATGCTAGCAATGTAGTTCAGTGGGAGTCCTTATTTCAAGCCCCAATACTGGAGGGAAAAAAAAAAACCAAAATAATTTGTTGATTTTGCCAAATTAAAACATTTTTACATTTTACTCTTTGTTTTTTTTTTGAGACAGGGTCTCACTATATAGTCTAGACTGGCCTTAAGCTCACTATGTTGCCCAGGCTGGTCTGGAACTTGCAGCAGTCTTTCTGTTTCAGCCTCCTGAATGCTGGGATTACAGATATGTGCCTTACACATCTGATCTTGCCAAATTAAATTTTAAAAATCGATCAATTATACACAGCAATTGGTAATTTAAAAAATACAGAAATGTTATTTATGGGGTAGAATAGATTGTGTTATTTGGAAAAAACTCACAGCTAAAACAAAATGCTCATCCAAACCTTTTAATAATGACCTGAGTACAGAATTTTTCTTTTGCATGTAAAAGTCTAAAACTGCCTAATTAGTAATTAGTTCTCCATCGCGAGAGAAATCTATCATTACATTTTTTTGTTGTTGTTGCTAACTTTACTTCAGGTATCATAACATTTAACAGTAATAGGCAATTCTGCTATATTAATTATATTAATAAAGACAACATACTTCTACTTTTGAAGATATGTTATATATAAAAATCTGGAACCTTACTCATACAAAAGATATTCAAGTCATAAAATAACTTGTTTTTGGCATATGAATATTTACCAATACCAAACAGTGATACAGCCTTCTTCTAAAAAAAAAAAAAAAAACTTAAAACTTTTACTATTCACTCATTATCAATTCACAATTTTCTCTAAAAACTATATATATATTTATATACACACACTCTTGTAAAACAGAACAGCATATTTTTATGCCATTCTCTTTACAAACTTACCTTTTCATTTTTTTTGTCTGCCTCTGCTGGCTGCTTTGCTGTTACACTTCGAGGAGTTCGAACAATTTCATCCTCAGCCACTTCCACAGTCCGTCCATTTGGCTACATGGGCAACAAGAAAGCATATTATCAAGCTAGTCGGCAGATTAAACCATAGATTTACACTCAGGAAACAACATATGGCATTGACTGGCCTAAGTAACAGTGTTTTGTAATATAAATATAATAAACTATAAACAAAATTCTTTATCAAAAATTTCTGACCTCACCCAGGTATCAAGTCTAACAAAGACAATGGAATAAAGGAAAGTAAAAGAACATCTGAACTGTGTTTATACTATGACTACCAACTAACTATTTAATCTCAGATCGTTTCACTATCTCAAGTCTTATTTCTCTATCGGTAAAATCACAGATTTGACCTATGGGTGTTTCAAGAATCAGCAAACTATTTTGTAAACAGCAGAGAGAAAATATACATGGCATGCTGGGCCATGTATCTTCTACTGCAATTACGTGATTCTTCCACTGTAGTACAAAAACAGCACAGATGATATACAAGTGAATGTTAGATGATTTCTAATGTTGCCTTTAACTATATAATTTAGTGGCTCTACTATTCTGGAATTAGAAGTTTTATCAGTCACTGCCACAATCGGAAAAGGCTATCTTTGCTTTCCTAACATTTCCAAAATGATAGACTACACTTAGAAGCATTTATAGGTAGAATTAACTGTGATCCTAAATATCAAGCTTTTAAGCATGAGAATCATTCATTTTTAAAAAAGTAAACATTTGAGTTCTATCAACAATACTGTATATAGACTGAGGCATCTTAACAGGGCCCTAAGTATTCATATATAACCTTATTTTTTAATTCTTTTACTTTTCACTTATGTGTGCCTGTCATATTCAGCATAATAAAGTCAATAAACCATGCACTAGTTTCAAAGTCTTATTTCCTATTCTTGCAGAACAGACTTCTACAGACTGCCTACTCAGAGTACAGAAAAGTGTTCGAAGTTTCTATAATTGACCTAATCTGCATTTCTTAAAAATGATCAGAAAAATGTAGTTGGAAAAAGAGACCATTTAAGTTCTAAAACTCAACTTGTAAGCTTTCCAAAGATTTGTGGCAGAAAATCAAAACAAAGCTGTCTTTTAGCTGATTAAATTCCTATTTAATCAAAATTTAATCTTCTGGGTCTTAAATAGCTTGTTAAAGTCAGACAGTTAATGCCAAATGAGGTTTCTTTACTCTTGGTTTTCGTTCTTCTGTGCTCTTTTGCAACTTTAATGCTGCCTCTTCTAATCTTTCTGCGAATGTGTATGTTCACGGCGGGTTAGGTGGCAGACAGTACATGAGGAAAGGTAAGGAACCGCAGGAAGCCAAGTGGACTTGGGGTAGGTATTCATTAGGAAAGTAAAACCTTTTACCATCTTGTCTATTTTCATGCTATTTCTTCTCCCTCCCTACTCTTTCTCTCATATCTCTCCTATCTCTTCGTAAGTAGCTCACAAGGTTTATGTCTACAAAATTACACTTAAGGAAAATTTCTATCATGGTCACCAAATGAAAAGATAAAAAAGTCTTTCAAACAAATATGAACTCTGAAACTCAATTATGACAACAGTGGTCTGACAGATTTGGGAACATTCAGTTCTATTTCATAGGCTGAAATGACCAGCAAACCAAAGGGGTTCACATGCTCCTACCTGTGCCAACTTTAGTTCCTTCTTTACAGTATCTGTAACTGTAGCTGTTTTCTCTGGCCGACTGCAAATCTCTCCATTTTCTAAACCTTGGGATTTATATAGTTCTCATCACTACCACGATTCCAGATATCATTAAGAACTCCTCCCATACCTGGTTATTATGAAAGCATTAAGTCTCCTATCTCAGCAGTAAAATCAATAGAATTCTTGGGTAGCAGAAACAGGATACACTATGGTGGTTGTCTTATCAAACAGCAGTATCAATCTGTCCTTTTCTATTGCCAGTAGCTGTTCTAGAAGGCCCCATCTTGAAAGTTAACCATATTTGAATCAGTGACTCCTTAAATGAGATTATACATACAGATTTACTCATATATACAATGAATAACTACAGATAGTACATGTAATGTGTTTGCTCTTGTGATTGCTGGTCAATGAGGTTTTTATGAAGGTATGGCTTTTTCCTGATCACAGTATATATATATATGTGTGTGTATATATATATATAAATAAAATTTCTACAGATTAGCAATTTCGTAAGCTCCTCATTGTAACCTAGTTTGAAACTCTTTGAAGAGTTCTGAGGTATTTCCCTCCAAAACCAAAGTTAATTTCATATATGGTATATGATCTGTAAATTAGCAAAAATGTCTTTCAAATTTCATAAAAATTGATCAGTAACAGAAAAATGATACAATCATTTCATGTACATGGATAAACGCTTAGAGGCATCACTGAACTATCTTACTGTTTTATTTTCTCCAATTACCCCCTGGGTCCATTTTTAAAAATACAGGCACAGAAGAGCAGTGTGTGCTGGTAGGTTGTAGTAAATCAGAGTAAGAATGCCTACTAAGACAATCAGAATAGAATTGAAGAAGGAGGACCACACAGCAGGAGAGCTGGAGCTTATTTTCTGACTCCTCATTTAAGGAAAACAAATTGCTCACGAGTCGATCTTTATTAACTCCATAAAATTTCAAAACATTTATTAAGTACTAGGCATTGTGTGAGGGACTGTGGAAACAAAGACATATGAAAGGAATCTGTTCTTTTTTTTTTTTTTTATCGGTACCGGGGATGGAACTCACGACTGCCTGTTTTCAAGGCAGGGCTTATGCCGCTGAGCTAAATCCCTGGCCCCAACGAATCTGTTCTTAAAGAGTTTAATTAGTGATAGTGAACCTCTGAGAGTTTTAACAGCCTGCTGTGTCATGTATGCACGAGGTTCACTATCACTAGTGCTATGGGTTAAAAAACTGGTGGTCATCTTAACACCAGCTGACTTAAATCAGCATGGTGCTGAGTGTGGATGGCCACCTGAGGAAAGTCGCTAGCATAAAAGATATGGAAAGGAAGAGGGTGGCATTGTGGGTTCTCCTAAGTGTTGTTACTTGAAGCCATTGGACTTGGCTAGCTTCCCTGATAAGAACTTGATCAGCCATTATCATTGGAGGAGCTTGGAACCATGCTGCTGAGAATGGCTATGTTTCACTTTGGGGGAGCTCTGGTCCTCACTTTAACCATTGCTTCCTGGCTTCAGATGGGAAGATGTGTGCTGTTTAATCTCCAGGAGGTTTGTCCTGCTGGCTTCTTGATATGTACTGACTGCTATCATCAAAGGAGCTCAGGACCTCATCATAGCTGAGGATGGCTGTGGTATTTTTCAGGGGAGCTCTGGTCCTCATTTTGAGTGTCACTTCTAGGCTCATATGCAGATCCCTCAACCTACTGGCACAAATCCTTCACCCCGCTGACAACTTTCTAGCTCCCACTGCTAACCTTTGGGCTTTCCCAGTGCACATTCATGTCATGGGCTTCTAGGCCTCCAGCTGGACTCATGGGAGGCATTTAATGCCTTTTAAATCTGCTGGGCTCATGCAAGGCATTCCTGTGGGATCCAGGTCCTTGGCTGGATTTTCTAGGTCTTTAGTGTTGTGGATAGACTTCCTGCACTTTCTTGTATTTAACTGTGGGTGATTATCATAAAATAATACAAATTCTGTATCCTGTATGTCATTGTTCTCCTTGCAACTTCTGACTACAACAACTAGTTTAAAGATTCAGAACAAAGTAACAGTATCCTTAAAAATAGATTTCCTCTTCATTTAAGGAGGCTTTACTTGTTAAACTCTAAATTATGAAAGAATCATCTGAGATAAGCATTTATAAGGTTTAACATCTGACTTCTAAGATGAAACCATTTAAAATCCCATTTTCATTTTGTTATGTACATTTTATTTCTAGCCAGCAAAATGCAAAGATCATAACTCCAAATTAAAAAACAAATTAATTGGAAACTTGTCAGGTATAAACCTAAAAGGATAGCTTTCCAATTATCAAGAAACAGAATGAAAAGACCGAGTTTTGGAACTGGGCAAACCTGAGGTTAAGGTCCAACAACCACAGTTAATCACTGTGATTTTTAAGGATTTTCCTAACTCAGTCTTTTTTTTTTGAGCCTTTTTGAGATGGGATTTCACTATAGACTTCAGCGTGGCCTTGAACTAGAAGCAATTCTGCCTCAGCCTCCCGAGTGCAGACATTACAGGTGTGTACCACTATGACCCTGAATTAGTTCAATTTTTGAGCTCATCATTTTTAAGTATGAGAAAACTGTACTTATCTTTTAAGTATCTTCATAGAATACACTAAATGAAAGTCTGTATCAAAGTATATTTGCTCAGAATCACCTTCTCCTAATATTTTTCTCTCCAAAATTATGATGCTCCATCCCTTCTGACTGTATCCAAATATTACCATCACTTTTATAGCAAGCTCATAATAAATATTAAATCAGCCCCCAGACACACATTTATCAGGCACAATGCTTCAGACACAAATTGGGAAGATAACAGATCACAAATGATAAGTAGATGTATCCTATCACAAATGATAAGTAGACTAAAAATAGTCCAGACTTGCTCTAGAAACAGTACTATTATTACAAAACAAAACAAAACAGGTTCTCCCTTTACTGTTTTCTAAGAAAATTGCATATTCACCATGCATTCATTTACTCAATGCTCAGTAAACAAACATGGTAGCATGTAGAACCCCTGAAACAAACAAGCAAGGCTTAACTTCTGCCCTCTAGAAGCCAAAATCTACTACAGAAAAGCAAGTATACAACAGTAATCCTACGGGCTGGGGGTATAGCTCAGTGGCATAAATGCCTGCCTGGCAAGCACAAGGTTGTGAGTTCAATCCTTGGTACAAAACAAACCAATCAATCAATCAAATAAAACAGTAATCCTAAAATACAAGACTAAAGGTTTATGCTCTCGTTTTTCCCTCTTTAAAACAGTATGAGTTTTGAAGGTTAAGTATGTGTTTTCCTGGGTTAAGTTAATGTTTTAGAGTCTCAATCTGCTTAGCTGAAATTC